GTGGATTCTTACAGTTTTAAAAGTACTTATAAAGTGTTGAAAACATTTCTACCCACTGTGCTTTCCTGCCACCAAATACATAATACTTTTATTTGTTTTGCCACTGTGAGAACTGATCAACCATATAACATATGTCTTTAGAGAGGTGGAGGGTAGCCCAGACTTACAAATGAGCCAGCAAATTCAGAAAAGCAATATTAATTTTATTACTCAGTTTAGTCTCCCAGTTGCTAGATATACTCGGAGTTGGTACTTTTGGCTAGACTTGGGGTACATTTCATCCCCTAGTGTGATGTAGCAAGTCTAATGATGACTAGGCATGGGCAGAAAATGCCACTTATAAGGAGTTTGCAGCCTGGGCGTTTGGATATCATTGGGGCTTTTGGGTGACCATAGGAATGTATTTTCACTGTTCCATGGTATTCTCTAATCTGTGAATAGAGAAGATGACATAATTTTCATGAAAACATTTTTTAAGTTATGGTTCTGCTTACTGCCTGTTTCATTGGTTTGTAGGTGTTTTTGGGGACGTGTAGAGGCAATCCAAAAGATCATCTACTTGACTAGACCTTTTGCCCGGAATCTCATGAAGAAATGATAGGAGGTAGGCACCCGTGCCTAAGAAGAGCACCGAGCTCAAAGGACAGCAGCACAGAATTCTGGGAGTGTACTTTGTAAGTATGTATTCTCCTTGAGTTTAGTGTCTGAAGAACTCTTTCACATTGTTGTGTATTCAAAGTGGAAAGGGTAATACTGGCAGGAGGAATTTGGGAGTCGGGCTCAGTGTGGGGTGCAAAAAACTCCTTTTTGAAATTAGTATAAAATTAAAACAGGGTAGTTGTCTTAATGTAAAAAATTAAAAAATAATTCAGGTGAACCGATAAATGTAGCTATGCTTTCACCTTTACCAAAAAACAGTGCAGCTGTCTGTTAGGTGTTTGTGAACTCACCCTAGCCCAGATATTGCTTGTGGTCCCTTTCCCAGGCATTGCGTTCAATTCTTTTTCAGGCTTATCTGCGTTTGTCAGGTCCATGTCTGAGTTGCAGATAGACCTTGCTTGGAAATTCTTGAGCCAAAAGAGTGATCTTTATTTCCAGATCTTCTGACTCCAGATTCCCAGTCCTGCCCCGGTATGGGCCTCCTGTGACTGTTTGTAATTGCTCTCTAGTGGAGTTGACTTACATGAAACAGTTTTGGATTGATCATTTTATATGTTTAAAGGATCCTGCCCGCCCCCTGCTTTTTTTTTTTTTTTAAGGTTAGTCTATTGAAGTAAATAGTTGTAATTTGTGCTTTCCATAAATTGAATATGTTCAACACAAATTGTCATTGGTTATTAAAGATTTAGTGTTAAGGCTTAATTTTTGTAATAGATTCAAAATTCCAGACTTTGAAAAAATTGCCTTTCGTTGTATTTTGATGGTGAAAAGGCACTGACACACAGAGGCATTTTGAGGCTTGAGATAAATTTCCACTCAAGACTTCTGATGCACAAAATTCTTAGAATTAAAGATTTTAGAGTTAGAAAGACATAAGCCTACTAGGTTAATGTATTTCAGGAATTCTCACTGGCACAAGTTGACACATCTGCAAATACTGTAAAGATATTTTCGAGTGTACTCACTATTATGCCTTTAATATGTTAGGGGGCTCCTTAGGCAGGTTTGAGTACAGTGATATTCTTTATTATCTGTTTGTCTGTGTCACAATGCATTGTTAAATGGTCACACAAATAGTGTCTACTGTCTCACTCTCCTTTCGAGACAACGTTTGGAATACATCTTAGGCTGGCCTGGAACTCGGGATCTGTGCCTCAGCCTCCTGAGTTTTCAGTTTTAGGTGTGTTCTACTATCTTGGGCCTCTGTTTTACCTGCTTTAACTGCAATCACTGTGGCCTAGTGATTAGATGCATTTAATATATTCTTCATCCGGGGATTTATAATTCTTAAAGGAAATTCTCATACATACATCTTCCACATGAGTTGTGTATACCCCCACATACCCTTTTGTTTTCTTGAGATTGATCATAGAAGCAGAATTTCTGAGTCAAAGCGTGCATATTTATGTTACTTGTTTTGCCCAGTTATTCTCTAGAAGAACTGCTCTTATTTCTATAGATAATACGTTTTTTCTTTCCTGTTGTGTGCAAGTGTTGGGACGTGCTTTGTGTGTGTAGAAGTCAGAAGACAGCTTTTGGAGTTGATTCTCCTCTTCCATTGTGGACTCCAGGGATCGAACTCAGCAGGTCAGGATTGCTTAGACAATAGCTTTTATCTGTTGAGCTACACTTTCAGCCTTTATAACTAATATTCCCACACTGAATACCCTTGTTAGCCGTGAGGGTGAGAGCTTTGCTCATTTGTCCAAAACAGATAAATAAGGACACCATTTTATTGTTTCAATTTGTAATTCTCTAGTGCGATGAAGTATATATATGCATTTGTTAGGGATATTTGTATTCTGTAAATTGTCTGTTTATGTCCTTTGTGACTTTTTTTTTTTTTTTTTTTTTTTTTTTTTTTTTTTGAAAGGGGGTTCTTTGTGGTTTTTGGG